AGTTGTATGGGCGTTCACTTCTGATGGGCATGAAACTCTGCTCTAGTGTAATTTGTGAAATGTGTGTGTACTTACCTAATAAAAACTTAATAATAATAATAAAAAAACCAACTCAACTAGTCTGATGATCTTTTATATTTATAATTTTAATTGCATCATATATTTTTAATCATAATTAAATTATTTCCAAGTCTCCTTTTTCTATAAAACTTGTTGTATCATAATCCTTTAATTTATTAACATGAATATTTAGATTGTGCCTTATATTAATAAAAAATATATATATATTAAGCAAAGATAGCCCAAACTGTGTTTGATTCAGTTTTCTGAAAACTCTTAAAAATCTTTTGACTTGGAGAGAGGTAGAGGGAGACGGTGAGACACCTTATAAAGCACAGAACATGGAATGGTTAAAGAACATCATTATGGTTTGATAATTGGTTGCTTCAGGTCCAGGTCAATGTTTCATTCTATAGGTGATATGGTTATTCAACATTCTGGTCTTCGAAATTAAAGAAGCTTTTGTTGCTTATATTATTGAGATGAGTTTGACAATGGCCAATGGGGGCTTCTAGCATTAAAACGTCGGCATTTTGAGAATTGTCCTTTAAAGTAATTTTAACTTTGTGTATTTTTTATTATTATTGAATAAAGAATATTGGGGGGTATTTTCGTATTTTTACCAACCCCTCTTACAAAAAGTCCTTATTTGCACTATTTGGAAACTATAGGGGTGGCGTTTGAATGATAGGGGCGTGTTTTTCACACTTTTGAAACTACGGGGGCGTGTTTTGCACTTAACCCATTTTGGAATTGAACAATTGAATGCTTAGAGCATTTGTAATGCAAAATGCTATATTTTCATGCCAAATTTCTATTTTGAGAGGAGTTAGTGTCAAAATGCTATATTTTTGCAATTATGATCCAATGGTGCATTTCATAAAAAATGCTATTTTTTGACACAACAACCATTCCATATTTTAAGAGCCCATTAGAATCCCTTATTTTTATTTTAGCAACTTTTGACAATCTCAAAATATGAGAGGTCTTTTGAGAGAGTACATTGGAGTGTCAATTTTTATCTACTCATTATATTTTGAGTTTGAGAGGTCATTTGAGAGTTGCTACATTTGAGAATCTCAAAATATGAGAGGTGTTTTGAAAGCCCATCGGAGTGCCTTATTTTCATCCACCTGTTGTATTTTGAGTTTGAGAGCTCATTTAAGAGGCCATTGGAGATGCTTTTCGCTAACTATGTACACAAAGCACTGAATGCACATATTTAAGTTTCTGTACTGGTTATTTTGCTTTAAAAATAATAATAAAATAAAATTTTACATAAATGTGTTGTAGTTACACAACCGTTTCTCTTGGCATTTAAACTTTTATACATAAATGTGTTGTATTATAGCGACACGACATTTAAATTTAAATTTGTTGTGTTATAGTTACATGACCTTTTGAGATAGGTCACTAGAAACCAGTGCTCTCTTTTACTAGTTTGCATTGGTAGGCTTTTTAAAACCAACTAAAAGGTATTCTTTTAAATTATTAGAAAGTTACGTGTACTCATGAGTGAATATAAGGGTGGGCTTGAGGCCCCTTAAAAAAAAAAAAATTGTTACTATACTAATTTTAGCCTAGTTCAAAAAAAATTATTAATAAAATTATTCTACTCAATCAAGTCCAAGTTAACTTAGTCACAATACTAAAATAAAGACCTAAATGAATTAAGCCCAGTGTCATGGGCCTAGAGTTTTGGCGCAGCGGCACGGCCCGTGCGGCACCAAGGCGTTGTTTTAGCTCGCGCAAGCGCCCTGATCAGCCACCACAACCTGCCCTTCCAAGGATACATGCTAACTGTTTCGGCCTGCCTTGGCCTTGTTAGGGGAACGGCTCCAGCTCCCGACCAGTTTGTCCAGGGATGGCCAACTCCCTTCTTCATAGTCAAGTCCACGACTAGTGACAAGCACCTCGAACTGAACCAAGTCGACCTGCCTGAACTCTGAAGAGGTACCATCCTGTGGTCCTGCACGCCCCTTCTTTGGAACCATTCCCAATCAATGAATGTTCTTAGCCAACCAGTATGCGTGTCTCCTATGATCATAGCATCGTTAGGAATCGGAACGTGACATTCTCCCCCACTCAAATCCTGCGACGCCCTCGTCGCAATGCGGCGCTGACTCCGCTGCGTCCAACATTCCAAAGTCTCTCTCCTAAAAGTGGAATGCTCGCCTGCCCACCATCGCTTCCTTGTACAACCCCTGGCTGCATTCACCCAATGATAGGGTTTCGGGCTAAAGGGACGCCCACTTTTTCGGGACGCAACCCCACATTATGCCACCTCCGCGACACCCCGAGCAAACAAAGGCCCTCTGGCCGACTTGATACCCGCCCTTCACAACGGTTTGCACGCCTCTTGAATTTGTAAGAACTTTGGTGCGCGCGGCCCTCCGGCTTCAAAGGACGCTTCTTCATGGGGAGATGGAGGTTCTCCTCTAACAGCATTGATTGCCCACCGACGCTTTAGTGCACCCACTTCATTCTCAAGACCCCCGGATCGACAAGGGGGCACACCTCTGTGCTTTTCCCCAAGTCCTGCTCTGATACCATTTGTCAAGGGCCTAGAGATTTGGCGCAGCAGCACGGCCCGTGCGGCACCAAGGCGTTGCTTCAACTCGCGCAAGCGCCCGGTCATCCACCAAGACCTGCCTTTCCAAGGATACATGCTGACTGGTTTCGGCCTGCCTTGGCCTTGTTAGGGGAATGGCTCCAGCTCCCGACCAGTTTGTGCAGGGATGGCCAACTCCCTTCTTCATAGTTAAGTCCACGACTAGCGACAAGCACCTCGAACTGAACCGAGTCGACCTGCCTGAACTCTGAAGAGGTACCTGTTGGGATTTATATGCCCTGGCATAGCAAATTCCTGTTTGGATTAAAGTGACATATATTCCTGACGTTTATGAAATATTTATGTTTTATACAATTGGTGAATTCAATGTATTATATTTCGATTCATTATAGAATTGATAGTGTCCATTTGATTACAAGAGATATTTATATATATGTTTGTGATGGCAATCAATGCATGATATATAAATAGTAATCATAAATGGTTCATAGTCGGTAATTATGAATGGACTCATAATTAATTAAGATTTGAACTGGATCCGTGTTAGGTTGAGATATATTGCGAGAGCCGTCGTATGCAATTGCTCCCTATCACTGTCATGGCATTTGACTCTTAAGTATGAGAAAATTATAGACTCTTTTATTAATTAATAATTACTTTGATTTGTTTGGCGGATTCTTCGGGATCCTTAGACTGACACTTTGGGTAGTTATGTAATTAATAGTTAGAGGGTTATATTTTCAATATTTGCATCATTACTACTTGTATTTATTTTGTATTGATTATGGTTGATCACAAAGTAAATTCGAAGGCCTTCGTGTATTTTTAGACAAAATGATTTATTATATATTTATTTATTTAAATTATTATTTTTGTCAAACAAATGTTTTATTGTGATCGAGTCAGAAATAATCAAAGGTACCAAAATAAATATATTAATTAAGTAGTCGGATTGAGGGCTTTATTTATCCGATAACTAATTATGCATAGAGGGGTCAAAGTGCAATATTGACTTAGAGGTTATTTATTATTTAATTGGAGTTCAATTAATTTCTTTTAGTGTAGTAGAAATTAATTTATGAATTAATTGAATTGGGTCCATGAATCGGGCCAATTATTAATTCATTGTAGCCAATAAAATAATAGGCCCAATGGATTCTCACTCATAGCCTAACTTGATATTGGAATCATATTAGATTTGAGACATGTGAATTAGAGATTGAGAATGATTAGTTGTTTCCTTTTCTTTACCTTTATGTTGCCTATAAATATACATGGTCTATGTATATTTTAGGTGTGATTTTTAGTAGAAGGAAAAATGAATATATTTTATCTCTCTAGAAAATTAGGGTTTACGTTCTCATCTAATGGAGGCTCCCACAAGCCTAGTTTTCCAAGATCATTTATGGAGGTATATGAGTGATTCCTAAAGGCAAAACAATTACCAAGAAGATGGAGATCCAAGGAGAATGCATCTTGCTAAAGGATCTACAATAAGTGAGAACATTCACTTTAGAGGAGAGATCTAAGGTTTACTCAAACCTTGATGTAAGTATTCAATCTTTTAATTGAATGATACATCATGTTTTATTTTTGTATAAAACTTGTCACTATGTAATGAATCAAGATCTATGAATTTAAATCCCTCGAAAAGTTTTTAAAACTAGCACGTTTCCCAACAGTACCATCTTGTGGTCCTACACGCCCCTTCCCTGGAACCATTCCTAGTCAATAAATGTTCTTAGCCAACCAGCATGCATGTCTTCTATGCTCATGGCGTCGATAGGAATTGGAACGTGACACCAGGGTCAGTCCTGACCTAAGGCAACAAAGGGTCTCAAAATTTGCGGGGCCTTGTACGATAAGACACAAGAAAAAAATAAATAAATAAATTTAGGGCAAATCATTTCAACCAGCTGGTCAAATGGTCAAAACTCCAGACAGGGAAAATTTTTATCACTATTATCAGATTAAATCAGCCAAATCCTGTAACTCTAAGTACCAAACCTGCTCTTTTTATCGGTTATTTGACCATTCGACTGGTCGGTTGTTTTTGCCTATTATATATATCAATATTTTTAGGGCAAATCATTCAGCCTCCCCAATCGCCTCCATCTCCATTCTCGTTCTCAGATCTGAACTCCCCCCTTCCCGACCACCCTCTCTTTCTCTGCAACTGCAAATTACAAAATCTACAAGAATCAGAAGTTCAAAGCCCATATATTTCAGATTCAAAACTCATATTGGCATATCATTTCAGATTGTTCAAAAAATCAAAACCCATATCTTTCAGTTTCCATCGCCCGCTGTTCCAGTTAGGGTTCGCCGTTCGCAAGCTTCAGCTGCTGTCTCTCAACTCTTAGGCTTGGCCCCCTCTCTCTCTGCAACTGCTAACTTGTATGTATGGGTTTTGTTTAATTTTCTTTCTTTTCTAAATCGAAAAATCAAGGTTTGTAATTCTAGTTTTGCAAATTAAATCCTATTTGGTGAAATTTTTACAATATAAAGTAACAAAATTTTGAGGTAATCACTGTAATCTACATTTTATTTCAGCAAAACAAATATATATATTTTTATTTCTTTAACTTCTATTTTTGGGATTTTTTTTTTTTTTTTTTTTTTTTATACAAGAAAATTTGAATCTGGGCATGAAAAAAAAAAAAAAAAACAAACGAATTTGAATTGGATTAGAAATCTGCATAGATTGAATCTGATCGAAACAATTTTTATCAACATACCAAGCTTTTTGAAGATGGAAATCTTTTCAGAACTAAAAAAAAAAATCACAACAAGAACTTTGACAAGCAAAAGTAGTTAATATGGGGTAAAGCTCTAAAGTTACTTCTTGAAAATTAAAATACTTACAAAAAGCATGCTTTTGAGTGAATTCCGTAGTGTTGGAAGGGGCTTGCCATGAACTACCTCACACTTGCTTGCACTAGTAGATTCTCAAATAGGATTAGTAAATTGGTCAAAAGAAGAGATAGGGTACTGAGTGATGAATTGTTCAGAAATAAGTTGGTAATTTTTCTTATTAATTACCCAAAAAGGATTTTCTATGCCTTAATCAGTCAATTGTCTAAAGAAACATTGTTAGTTAACTAAAATTGAATTAAACAACATTTGATTTTGATTGAAATATTTTGATTTAGCCCAGCCCATTGAGAAATCCTGGATGTTTTGTTTCACATAGAAATATTACACAAAGGATATATTCTATCTTTCTGCCATATTTTTATTTTCAAATTTTGGTTTTTAATTTTCTTTTGTTATTAGAATGCAGAATATCAGGATATTGATTTGTTAATTTTGAAGATTAATCAGGATATTGATTTGTTAATTTTGAAGATTATTCCTAAACTGATGCATTGTACTTTGTTATTGGATTAATTTAACATAAGAGCTTAGAATAATATGTGTTAATCATACTTATCCTTAATCACACCTCTTTCTGCGCATAGGTGTCCAACATTTTGACTGAAAGCATAGTTGGGTTGGGTTGATACATGACACAAATAGTACTTAGATGGTGGTGTTTTAATTGTTATGAGTGAGATTATGAAACCTCTTCCTTACAACTTGTGTGTTTTTTTATTTTTAGGGTTAACATCGGGCCTTAACATTTAGCAAGAACAAGGTTCAAGAAACATGCCTCCTCAATCATCAGGTAACAAAGTCCTCTTTTTTCTAAAATTTTTATTGGCATTTTTAGCTATTGGTTACGTTTATATATTCATTTTTTACATACTAATTTTTTGTTTTTGTTTTTGTTTCTACATACATATATATGCTTGATTAATGGCAATTAAAGACTTGGAAGTTTAGTTTTCAATTTCAGAATATATGTTTTACAAGTTCACTAACGCTTTTAAACCTTTTCCTCTTTTTGTACTAATAATGTAGGTCTCTTTTCTGAAAGAAGAGAGTTGATGGGAATGGGTGGTGTTGGGAAAAAGAAGGTATGTTTTTTTTTTGCCTAGCTAATTGAATTATATAAATTCCCTTACCGTTGTAGCAGTGATGTTGGTTTAATGACCAATTATGATAGGAAGTGTCTTTTCAGTTTATCTTAATCAAATGTATATCTATGCAAGAGGATTACGTGATTCTAGATGATGATTCTAGATGAGGATGTTAATGTCAACGTTACGAGGATTTTGATGTCAACGTTGACTCTAGTGATGACGATTGATGATGTTGATAATATGTTGATACACTCAACTTAAGTCAAAGCACTTAGAATTGAAGGAAATTTAGAGTTGAAGACATACTATTGAGCATAGTGTCTAATTTTTTTAGTTATAAGAATTTTTGGTCACTTCACACACGATTTTTCAGGTCGTGAAATTCTGAAACAATGGTGTGTAATATGATTCATCTACTTGGACTCTCTTCTTTTTCATCTCTCTAAACAAAGACTATAATTTTAACTTTTACTTTATCAATTTGAGCATTGACAGAGTTTTTGAAATGTTGAAATTGAAACAACAAAGAAGAGAGTCCACCGATAAGAATTATCCAACTTAGGACAAAACAAGCTCTCGGAGCGTCCTAACTAATATTGGCATGGGAGACTTCTATAGATATGGACGGACTTGTAGAGAGAAAGATATATGGTTGGGGGCACAAAAATGTACGACAACTGTGAACCAACGATAGGGTTGTGAGCTTTTGGCTTGTTTCATGCGTCCGATCTAAGAAGTGTACAACAATGAAATGGATAGCTCTGATGCACTCAAAGTTACAGACAAAGACAATAATTAATATTATATATTTATAACTTACTTTACTAATCTAATATGATACTACGTATATCATACATATATACATATATATATGTGTGTTTTGATTTAGCCAACCCCATTGAGAAATCCTAGATCCGCCCTTGCATATTTTCTGTTCTGCATAGTTTAAGGAGATTCAAATTTGCTTACAACAAGAGAAGAGCTTGCCAGTCTTTAGCATTGTATTGGAAGTTAAGAAAATGTTGAAGTGATTGCATCTAAAGAACAGATGTGAATGGTTTTCCATGCATGAAGAACACAGAGAGCATAGGTTTGTTGAAGCAAGGTAGGACATACTAGATCTATCAAGGGTGGGGTGTTTAAATTACCAAGGGCTGTCATCCAAAGGGTGAAGCTATGCTTGGGTATGTTGTGCTTGAACCATATTGTTGTAGTCCAAAATAGAGGAGGAGGGAACTGTGAAATGATTTTAATGGTAGAGGAGTGTACAGGGAAGAAGCGGAGAGAAAGCCATAAGCAGGGTAGGGCTTGAGATTCCCAAAAGGCGAACTTTCAAATGTGAAACCCTTTGTACTGTTGTGGTCAACATATATATTTCACACCGACAAAAAAACTTATAAGATTGCACAGTTTTCATTAAAATGAGAATTGAAATATCTAGGACTCGTTCGGGAAGAGAAAACTTTAATAGCTTGGATGGATTGAAAATCCATTACAATTCTAATTAATATGTGTTTCTATTTTTATAGATGTTAAAAAGATAATCTTTTATCACAAAATTACACTTTTACAATTATTACCTTTTTCTTTCTTCTCTTGCTTACAGCTCACAGTGGTAGTGGTTTGACTCTTTCTTCCCTCCTCTTTTGATCTTGTGTGTGCATGTATATATATATAGCTAACCTTCCAGGGTGATTTACAAATGAAAAAAATTAAATATAACTTATGTCAATAGATTCTTTCCTTATTTTGTTCATTTCAGGAATTGGTATTGGAATTCTTAGATGCTCAAGGAGCTCTTATGTGCATTATTATTTGCTCATATTCTTATAGATTGGTAAACCAAGATTCTCAATTTTTACTCTCTATTGCATTAATGATTATTATGAAATTGTAACTAAATCTGTTTTGGTGTGATTAATTTTGACAGATTATGCCTAGATTTTGTTGCAATGCGATTGTGAAGGTTGCAAGGTAGAATTTATGGTGGGAGATGGGTAGATTTGTGGAAGTTATGATACATCAATATGCTGTTCTAGGCGTCTTCCTCCATTCCGGATCATTTCCAAATACAGGCTGCTTACGTGAACTGATGTCTCAAACCAAGTCCTTTTACCATCTTTTGGATTTGAAGCTGAGATTCAAAAAATATATTATAATGTTCTCATTTTCAAAAGCCACTATGTACTTTCTCAAGATGCGGTTTCATTTCACATTTGGCTAAATTTCTTTCAATTGTTTGTGATTGATTTTGAGCCTCCTTTTTACACTTTACTCAATTGATTCATCTCTTTTCCTCAAAGAAAGTAGTAGATGATGATAATGAACTATGGTTGTTGATCTTGAATGTTTCAGTCCAATACTACTTATAAGGATGTCAAGGGTGTTTTGTGTCTGCTTTCAGAATTAGCTTCTAATAACCATCTCTAGACTGAAGCAGGTTTGGAAACTTCCTACTGATCGATGACTACTAGGGCTTTCTTTATGGTCTTTAGGCCCTTCCCTACTTGTACATAAACCCTCCAACTTTCTGTACATGGCTTTCTTTCCCCCACTCCACACACACTAGTAATGTATGGATGGTTGTCATATGAACAGGTTTAGGGATTCGGGATTTCCATATGAGGTTAAGGACTTCGTTGGCCGGGGTAAGGTTTTGCTTCCATACTTGGTGATTCAGGTGTTGGGTCCCATTTGCCTTTCCTTTCACTCTCTGTGGAGGGAAAGCCCCACTAGTAAAAATGAGCCATCTGGATTGAGAAATAGCCAATCCGCACTTGACAAACCTGATGACAATCCTAGGTTCGGTCAGAATAAATTTTTTATTTTATTTTAAATGATAGGTCAGACTATTTTGATATTCAAATACTCTTGCTCTATTTTTGAGTGCTATCTGTGTAAGATTTTGTTCGGTTCGTATAGCTGCAAATTTTGGTGCAAATTTTTGCACCTACTACACTCACATGCTGGTGGGCAATACCGTGAGCCCAACTGTCCATGAATCTGGAAGCCCATAAGAGAAGAGCTTGCCAGTCATTGGCATTGTATTGAAGTTAATTTTTTTTTTGAAGTGATTGCATCTAAGGAAGAGATGTGAATGGTTTTCCATGCATGAAGAACACTAGGGCATAGGTTTGTTGAAGCAAGGTAGGACATGCTAGATCTATCAAGGTTGGGGTGTTTAAATTACCTAAGGGCTGTCATCCAAAGGGTGAAGCTATGCTTGGGTATGTTGTGCTTGAACCATATTGTTGTACGTAGTCCAAAATAAAGGAGGAGGGAACTGTGAAATGATTTTAATGGTAGAGGAGTGTACAGGGCAGAAGCGGAGAGAAAGCCTTAAGCCCGACAGGGCTTGAGATTCCGAAAAAGCGAACTTCAAATGTGAAACCCTTTATACTGTTGTGGTCAACATATATATTTCGCACCGACAAAAATACTTATAAGAATGCACAATTTTCATTAAAATGAGAATTGAAATATTTAGGACGGTTCGGAAAGAGAAAACTTTAATAACATTGATTGAAAATCCATTACAATTCTAATTAATGTGTTTCTATTTTTATGGATGTAAAAAAGATAATCTTTTATCACAAATTTTATTTTTATTTTTATTTTTATTTTTATTTTCTGGCAACAACCACCAAAAAAAACAACAAAGAAACAAGTCCACTCTCACCCTCAACCAACGGCATCAACTGCCAAAAGCCTAGAGATGAAAGCTGGGATCGAAAGAAGCACCAAATCCTCATCCATGTTAGCCCTTGATAGACCAGCTAAAGCATGAGCCACCTTATTACCATCCCTTCGAACATGTGCTAATGAAAACGAAGAACAAGCCTGCATCTCTTTCCGGAGCTCAGACAACAAAGGAAAGCACTCACCATCATGATATCGCACACCCGCAATAGCTTCCACCACCACTTTAGCATCCGTCTCAAAGCAGACCTGTTGAAAGTTAAACATCTTGGCCCAATACACAGCACGATACAAAGTAAAAGCCTCAGCGGCCCTCACGGACAAGGAAGAAACTGATTTAAAAATCAATGCTTGAAGAACAGAGCCATCAGAGTTCCTAAAAACCGCCCCTCCACCTCCTAACAAAGCGGATTTGGAAAAACAAGATTACACTTTTACAATTATTACCTTTTTCTTTCTTCTCTTGCTTACAGCTCACAGTGGTAGTGGTTTGACTCTTTCTTCCCTCCTCTTTTGATCTTGTGTGTGCATGTATATATATATAGCTAACCTTCCTGGGTGATCTAGAATGAAAAGAATTAAATATAACTTATGTCAATAGATTTTTTCCTTCTTTTTCTTTTACGTGTGTGTGTGTGAAATTTCTTTTGTATAGTAATCCATTCACAATCTACACACACAATCAAAGAAGAAGAATGTCTTCATTGAGGCTCCAACCTCATATCTCCATTAGAAAAATAGTTGGGGATTTGTACTACTGATTAGAATGATAAAAATAAAAAAATAAAAAAATAAAAAAGGAAAGAAAAAGAGAGAAAATACAAGAGAAAATAATACCAGACGGTTGGCTCGATCTCCCTCTCTCGTCGCTTCGCGCGCTCTCTCTCTCCGCTTCACTCTTGAAATAAGTCTCCAGAGAGGTATTGTCTATTGGCCGTATCAGACTATGGGTCTATGGGTCTCTTTCTTAGATCGTGATTCTTTTCTGAGATATTATTTGAGAGGTGTTATTTTGTTGCCTACTACATTATAGGATTATGTAACCTATTCATTTGATGGTAGACGATCACTGATAAATAATCCAATGGTATATAATTAATACACGTGTATATAATATATATTAATATAAATATATATAGTTTTAATTTGGATCGGATTATTATCGAATTGGATAAAATCCATAGCTCATTTGTTAAGCTAACGGGTTATCGGATTTGGATCGTAAACGGATTATCGGTTTTTTTTGTTCAATTCATATCCCACTAATCGGATCGGATTTGGATTCGGATCG